AAATATCAATCTCCCTCCATGGGGGAGGTCTGGAACTACACAATATACAAACCCTCTCAAGGCACATGTAAAACATACCAGTTCAACATTTCTTTTAAAAGCTGTCATATTGTTATCGCAACTGTACGGCGTCTTTCCTCCATTAAACAGCGCATATATCAAGACTCCTAATGAATACATATCACTCGACACATCACATGACCTGGAGAGGATGTACTCAGGAGCGCAGTAATTAAGGTCTGGTTGAGCGTAGGGAAATAGGCGTGGCTCCCATTGGCATCCACTGTAGGTCGACTACAACAAAAACAAAATTAAACAATGCAGGGCTTAAAACAATAGAGTTTTTTAGATCCGATGACGAGTACGAGTACAAGAACGAGAACGAGTGTGAGTACGAGTTTTTAACTTTTAAAGAGAGGCACTATCTTCTTGAAGTCGTGATCGTGTACGTAGATTGAAAAAAATCGGAAATCGACTACAATTTAGTGTTAACCACGTGTACAGGACCAATATAATTTTAAAACTCATACTTGTACTCAATCTCGTACTCGTCGTCGTATCTAAAGGTCGCTATTGGCCGGTAAGTCACTGGTCATGATGACTGTTGGTTTCAAGTTATGCTGTAGAATGTATTAGAAGTATAGAAATGTTTACAGCAGACACGTGCAGTATCAATAATTAAAAGTATATCAAGGAGGTCATGCAAGGGAGGGATACTACTTGCTGATACCAATAACATCTGGGTCCGGTTGTACGAAGCCTGGAAAGTGCTATCCGACAGATACATGCAAATCTTATCAAGTGGATAAGTCGATGCTGTTATCCAATACATTTTATCCACTGGATAAGATTTATCCGTCTGATAGTGCTATCCAGGCTTCCTATAACCGGGTCCAGGTGCCTAACTAGTTAAACAATAAGACTACTTTGTCTTTATTTAGGAGCGTAGCTCAGTTGGTTATTGCGTGACCTTCAGAGCTTGAGGTTCACCGTTCGATCCTTAGGATCTCAACGTCTGTTTCGACTTCTCTCTAATCCATGTAGCTTCAGCTTTAAATACTCTTAAAACAGAGCACTGATGGAGAGAGGGGGTAAAGTGTGCACCGTCCACTTCCATTGATAGCAGTTCAATGAAGGAACTACCGACGTTATAGGTATTTATAGGTACATTACTTTTTTTAAATCTCTAATAATATACAGAAGTATCATTACCTGTCCATCAATAATAGTGGGGGTGGAGCTAAAGAAGAGGCCGCTAATCTTCCATTGTCCATTTTTGGTGATGACGACGTGTTCTGGGTTCAGAGATCCTTGAAGTATCTTTGCATCATTGTGTAGAAATGTGAGTCCTTCTACCAGCTGAAATCACAATATCACAGGAAGCTGTGTCAGTATTTCTAATGAAACAGTAATGATAAAAGGGTAAATTTTGCGTGTACACCATGAAAAGATAAAAAAAATGAAAAAACTTATCATCAAAGTAAATGAGCTCCTCTTTTAGGCCAACGAAGGACTAGCATCCCCCTCTTTTACTCCATTAGTAGTAGATTGTTCATATTTTCATCTTTTCACGGTGTAAGATTTACCCTTTTATCATTACTGAAATCACAATATCAAATATCCAGTCCCAGTTTTACAATATTGACACATCATAAGGAAGGATCCAATTGAAACAAAGTATTATGTGACGGCCTTGGTCAATCAGAAGCAAGCATCAAAACTAGGATCTGATTTTAGTCAATAGTCTACTTCCAAGATAGTCTGTAGCTTCGCTTGTCACACATACTGTAGAGTTTTGAGTACGGGGCTACAGTACGCTTGAAATTAAATTTATTCTTTTCTCATGTCACAAATCACTGAGGATCATGCACAAAGCCTCACATTGAAATCTTCTGGGAGACAAGTAAAGCATATCTCAGAAGTGGGCTATTGGCCATGATGTTGTTTCAGGGTTCAATCTGTGAGTTAGCCATGCTCTGACTTAGATCATCCCAGAGGTTGTTTCAGGGTTCAATCTGTGAGTTAGCCGTGCCCTGACTTAGATCAGCCCAGAGGTTGTTTCAGGGTTCTATCTGTGAGTTAGCCGTGCCCTGACTTAGATCAGCCCAGAGGTTGTTTCAGGGTTCAATCTGTGAGTTAGCCGTGCCCTGACTTAGATCAGCCCAGAGGTTGTTTCANGCCGTGCCCTGACTTAGATCAGCCCAGAGGTTGTTTCAGGGTTCAATCTGTGAGTTAGCCGTGCCCTGACTTAGATCAGCCCAGAGGTTGTTTCAAAGTATTGATAAAATTTGAAGATTGTTGACAGACAGACAGACAGACAGACATACCTGATATAAGCCATAAACTCTTTCTACATCATACATTTCAAATGTCTGTAAACAAATTAAAGTAGGTGTATTGTATAAGTGCAAGAAGAATAGTGCTGATGTGATCCAGATTTGTAACAAAAAACAACTGCTCAAGTGATGTTTTTTATATTGACTATACCAAATGCCTCCTGAATAGCCCACTTCCGAGATACGCTTCCCTTGTCACGCACAAAGGTTTCAGTATAAGGGTACGTGCTAAATGCTCAGTCATTCGTGACAGGTGGTAAGAATAAATTGAATTTATTAGCATGTAGCCTCATACTGAAACCTTTGTGGATGACAAGCAAAGCATATCTCGGAAGTGGGCTATTATTAACACAATTTTATGCCTTTGTGGGTGGAGTATTTTTACATGAGATTGGTTATAACTTACAGCAAAATCTGGATTAGGAGGGTTGGGCATATTCTCATGTCGTCCAAGAACATTGGCCAAACTCGCAAAAATTGGTTCTGTTGCGAATGCTAAACAATCTCTGTAAGAAAAGAGAATTTAGATTTTAGTCATGAATACAGAATTAGAATAAGATTATTCTGAGTGTACTGATAGTTGTCACTCATAGTAAACAAGGATAAATAGTTTTATTAGCCTGCAAAGAAATTATCATCATCATCATCATCATCATCAATATTATCCTCATCACCACCACCATCACCATCACTATCATAATCACCAACATTATAATCACCATCATTGTCATCATCGCCATCATCATCATCATCCCCATCATCATCATCACCAACATCACAATCACCATCATTGTCATCATCGCCATCATCATCATCATCCCCATCATCATCATCACCAACATTACAATCACCATCATTGTCATCATCGCCATCATCATCATCATCSCCATCATCATCATCACCAACATCACAATCACCATCATTGTCATCATCATCATCATCATCAGTCAACATCACCCATATATCATCAACATCAAAATTATATGTCATCATCATCATCTTTCCCAATAACACCATCAGCAATTTCATCATCATCATCATCCACATTAATCATCAATATTATCATTCTGATGCACCAGAGATTTAACAAGTACAAGTCCAAATAGATATAACCATAAAGTAATCCATACTTTGATTCCTCAAGAGGATGTTGTATCATAAGTATTCTTGGATGACGCAGCCTGGTCAGTTGTACAGCTCCCTTCTTCATCACCTCCAGAACAGCTGGTCGGTCATGCTTATCGATAGAATCCAGAGTCTTTTTCTCAAAAACTACGAGTGACACTTCCTAGAGTTAAACATAAAACAAAAAATACCCTTCAAATTTTATCGGACCCTGAAGCAATGCTGTGATTCCATAGTATGAATAAATATAAACTTAGAAAGTCTTTCTCTTTAAAAGATTGCGTTAATGGTGCATTCTCACACTGTCTTCTTCAGAGTCCAGTGAGAAATCGTAGATTGTTCCAAAGTATAGGAACACAATTAGAAAATGCGGTACAAATATTGGATTATGAAGTTACATATTCTCATATAATACTATTAAGTATATTTGGTTACTTTTTTAATTGGCGTTCAAATCAAAAGCTAAAGATTACACGGTACCTGTCCGGTAGATTTCCTTTTCCCATCGAAAATCTTCCAACACAAATTGGGTCCAAAGCTCGCCACATGCTTGCCAACTTCATAGTCCTTGGTCAAAGGATTCCCTATCAAGGCTCCTACGGCTCCTACAGCACTTTTAGTAGCACAATAAGCCGTGACTGTAGCATTCATTGCAGCACTCTTAAGCTTATCCAGCTTGTCAAACATAGCACCAGTATATTTTTCCATTGTCTCAAAAGAATACCTTATTCAACGATGACCAACCTAATTTTGCGTATAGTGTATCTAGAAGATATCGTTTAAGGCTGAGTGGCTTCAATTTGGTTAAATTTGTAGTGTTTAGTTCATATTATTTGATCAAAATTCCTGTTTGAGTCAAGAATCATTTTTGACACGAAGACGTCCGCCATCTTGAATTTGTAAATAATAACTTACTACGCATGCGTAGGAGTAAAAAGTGATGGAAACTGGTAACGAAACAGCTGATGAAGCAAAACACTCCCCCAGCCAGCCCCTCCCTCAAAAAAAAGCAAAAAACAACAACAACAACAACAACAACAACAAAAAAAAACAACAAAAAAAACAAAAAAAAAACAACAACAACAACAAAAACTGGTCAATCAGTTTTTGTCGACGTAATCCTTTGCTAATATAAAAGGTCCTTTCGCTGGATGTGAACGGCCTCTAGACCATGACCATTTCATAATCGAAAAGTTATATGTTTTGGCAAGAGATCATGAAGATGAAGGACTTTATGGACTCTTGGTTTTGGTCGATGCAAATTTATCCTTCCCTACTAAGTGTAAAAGGTCCTTTCAATGGTTGTGAACTCCATTAGACCATGACTATTCCACATCCAGTGAAAGGACCTTTACGATTATGAAAAAGGTCCTTTCAATGGATGTGAAATAGTCATGGTCTAATGGAGTTCACATCCAGCGAAAGGGACCTTTTTGATAATGAAAAGGGTCCTTTCACTGGATGTGAAATAGTCATGGTCTAATGGAGTTCACATACAGCGAAAGGACCTTTTTGATTATGAAAAATTTCCTTTTAGTGGATGTGAAATAGTCATGGTCTGATGGAGTTCACATCCAGCGAAAGGACCTTTTTGATTATGAAAAATTTCCTTTTAGTGGATGTGAAATAGTCATGGTCTGATGGAGTTCACATTTATTGAAAGGACCTTTACGACTATGGAAAAGGCCCTTTCAATGGATGTGAAATAGTTATCGTGTCTAATGGAGTTCACACCCAGCGAAAGGACCTTTAAGTGGATGTGAAATAGTTTACATCCAGCAAGGACTTTTTCTATTATTTCCGAAAGAAAAATATGCGAATAAAAATACAAAAATGTATCATGGAAGCCCATAAGGACGTTGCTGCAAATCAAAATGACAGAAAATACCGAGAATGAATTGAAACCAACTGGAGTATTTAAGCTCTTTTCAGTAGACCGTTCCCAGAAGGCATCTAATTAAATCTGCAGGAAAATACACTTGTTTTTTTTTCTGACCGAGATTGGCTTACTAAGACTGCGTTCATAATGTTTTCTGATCGAGATTGGCTTACTAAGACTGCGTTCATAATGTTTTCTGATCGAGATTGGCT